TAAAAACAAACTGGAGCGCATTTTATTTCTTATAAAGCGAAAACCGGTCAGATCGTTAAACGGAAGTACGGAAGTCTTTTTTTTTTTTTTTTTCCTCCTGAGGAAAAGGGGAAATTGGTGAAATTTCAGAGGAAATTCGAACATCTCCCAAGTCGGGCGCCAGCGCCTCTCGTTTCTGCGCCCCCCCCGGCCAAGAACGGGACTTAGTGGCGCGGCCCGTTGCGCGGGTGCGCAAACACCTCGGGACGCGGTGGGGCTTGGGGAAAATGATGAAGACGTTATTAGTTGTAGCACTATTTTTATTTTGAAATCCCCCCCTTCCTTCTCCTCCCTCCGGTGCGGTATTAAGGGAATAAAACAATCTACGCCACACGGGTCCTATTGAGATTAATGAAAAAATTATGCAAGAAGGAAAAAAAAAGAAAAAAAAGAAAAAAAAAAAAAAAGAAACACCCTATATCTCATTTCCCCCCACCCCGCGCCGGGCCTTGCCTCCGTATTGCCTTGCACCTGATGATTTATTAACGTAATCTGCGGGGATAACTACCCGTGTGCCCCGCTCCGCCTTGCCCCAGCTCATCTCCTAAGTAATTGCCTCTCATTAGTCCTGGTAATGTTTTAATAGCGCTACCCATAATTTAGTCATCCAGGAATTAATAACGGGGGGGGGGGGAAGCGAGGCGCAATATAAACAGGTAGTCCTTAATTAATCAGATTAGCCTCGAGATCCTTGCGCCGTAACGGAGCCTCTGTGCGCGCGCTTCGCAGCGCCTAACGGTTCTACCGGCCGCTCCCCTCGCGGCGGGGGGAGCGCTAACGGTTCTACCGGCTAACGGTTCTACCGGCCGCTCGAGGCGCCGCCCCTGCCCCGCCTGGGCGCTGCGCCCCGGGAGCCCGTCCCGTCCCCGTCCCGTCCCCGTGAGGAGCGCGGCGTGGCCGCCTCGTCCCCTCCGCCTCCCGGCCCGGGGGTGTCCCCGGGAGGCGCTCGCGCCGCCATTTGCTGAGGGGGCAGCGGCGAGGCGGGAGGCGCCGCGCGCCCGGCCTCGCGCTGCCCCGCGAGCAGCGCCCTTGTCTTTGCGTGTGTGTGTGTTCTTCCCCCGCCACGGACACTTTAATTAATCAAAAATAACAAAAATGCTTAAAAACGCGGCTCGGGGGAGGCGGGGGGGAAACAGAAGAAGCGAGCAGATGGGAGGAATGAGGTGCTGTGACTCTGTACGTAAAATGGCCATTGGAGGCGGTGAAAAATGAAACTAAAAAACAACTGTTTTCTATTTACAAATTTAAATAAACAGAACAGCCTTCCCCGCGGTGTTTGTCTAAGTGCAGCAGCATTGCTGCTGTGTAGGTCATGAAAAGGTTGGTGCATAGTTTAAAACTTCCCATTCTGTTAATTTCTTAAAGAACGGTCGTTCATAGTCTGAGCACAAAAGCTCATGATTTAATGAGGAACAGAAACAAAATCTCTGATTGTTGGTGTTTCAAACTTCATTGGAGTCCTCTGGCAACCACAAGTTGATCCTCTGCAGCTTCAATACCCTTTAGCCCTCCATATAAGAGTACATGCTGAATAGAGGACAATGCCTGGTTGTTATGTTTATTTACCCTTACTACAAGCTGGGTTAACCTCTTCAAAACAGCTTTACTAAGCCCGTTAACCACACGGCCCACATGACCTGTAGCCGTATCCCTAATGTGATGTAAATCTGACTCGAGACCATATGCACAAGTTCTGCCGCATTGTGCCTCCGAAAACTACAAGTTTATTGCCGCCCAGCCCTTCCCGGGCTCCACGTTTCCAGGAGGRAATGGCCTGAATAGCAAGCACTTAAGGAAAAGTCAAGAGTCTCGCATTGTTGGAGCAATATTTTTAATGGCTGTTGCACATCTACAGAAGGGGGGAGCAAGGAAGCGGGGTCCGCACGGGGTGATGATTTTCATCGCCSTTATTTAAGCCGGTGGGTAATTATTCAGGACTTTGCCCTTTCTGRTGGGGCTTCCACACGAGAGCGGGAAGAAGCACAGATAAAGCCAGAAGTGATTTGACCCGATTTTAGGCTGTGATTTTAACCGAGCTCACAGCTTATGTTTTGCTCTTATCCTTAAAGAGGAGTCATAATCCTGCATTTATATAATTAACGCAAAGTCAGTGATGTGACTTCATTGCAGGCCATGAGGAYGTGGGCCATGAGGACACAGGAGTGAGCAGCGGTTTCAATCTCAAATACTTTTAATAATTAGCAATTCTAGCAAGTAATTATGACAGATCTGCAAAATGCAAATTAATTTCTGCTTAAGCCTGATGTATTTAATTTTTTTTTCTTCCCCCCCCCCCCCAAGGATAGTCATCTTTTAAAACAGCTACTGTGGCCACATGGTGAGAGCTTCATTTACCAGATCATTTTTTCTTGATGGCTGTGGCAAGCGTAACAATGTTCTGTGCCTGCTTCAGTAATGGCATGTCTATCATGCTCCCACGGAAAGTAAAGGCTCCCTGGAAAAGAGAGAATATAAACTTCCTCAGAAGGCTGTTGGAAATTGTCATTTGCTCTTTTTTTCCTTTCTTTTCTCCTTTTTAAACACATCCGCAAAGCAGGAAACCGTTAGACCCCACTCGAATATTGAGCAAGTTTTAGAACAAGACGAACCAACCAACGTGAGGCAAGGACAGTAAATTAGAAAGATGCCGTGGGAGTTCAGGGCTTGTAAAAAGAGGCCAAATGTGAGACGGGGGATGTAGCCCTGTGTGTTTCTGCCTGCCCGGTGACACGTGGCAGGGTGCAGCGTGGGTGCCCTGGGTGCTGCTGGGTGAATGATGTGGGTGGCAGGAACGCCGGCCGGCTCACGCACGGGATGAGTGTCCTGGAATTACTGCGGAACTGGCCGTGCTGGCCCAGCAGTGACGGTCCCAGGGCCGCGCGCGCTGTCGAAGGACTCTGTGGTGCTACCCTGGCGACAGGTGTAAAACTATTAGGTGTGGATTGCACTTAAATCTTAAGCGGAAGAAACGTTATGTATTAGGTAGAGCCACACCTGACTTGTTGCTTTGCATACTTTAATCTACCTTTGTCTTGAGCAAGTAGAATTTTTAAGATGCTCTGAAGTTCAGCAATCAATCAAACAAACAAAAAYCGTGTTTGCAATTCTGACTGCATTTTGGCACGTTTTTGAGGAAACAAAGATTCCTCTTTATCCCCTGAAGAGCTCTAACGCAAAGGTGCTGCTGCAGCGCTGTGCGGCTGTCCCTGGGAAGCCCGGCTCCCATTCCATGTCCTGCCMCAGTCGGGGCAGGAACAGAGATGGAGGGTAGAACGAGCAGTTTAGTTATTTGTGCCTGTTCCTTTCTGTTTTTCATGTAAGGATCGAGAACAATTAAACAGAGGAATCTGATAAGTAAAGCGAAAATATAAGCCATTTGCAAACATTTTTACGGATGGTGCTGCTCCGGTGGTGTATTTTGCTTGGGTGAAGCAGCATTAATTAAACACTAAATCACATTTTATGCCAACTAACACAAAAATCCACTTTAAACAGTAAATTAATGCAACAGAATATTACTGTATCGCACATGCTGTATTAAAGCCTAATATTTAAAACTCCTAAGGAGGATTTCATCCAGCAGCTAAGTGATATCTTAGGTGGCCTTGGAAGAAAAATAGGACTGACAGGTATGCAATGACAAATGCTTCAAAATGAATTTCTTGTTTACAGAGCAACTAATCAGCCCTATGTAAGTAATAATAATAATAACAACAACAATAACACTTTTTATATTCGCAATATCTCAGCCATTTTCACTTGTAAACATTTACAGGCAATGCAGCCTCACACTGTTACATTTATTAAGTTGTGAAAATCAGCGGCTAAGTAAATTCTTCAGAAAAAATTGGGTCCGTGGAGTGCTCCGAAGGATCTGTTGGCGCCTGATTCGTATTTTCATTGTGAGAAAACCATCTTTCAATCGTGGCCATTTCTTCGTGAGCATTCAGTCAAACAATGCCTACTGTTTAACAGAGAAATTCGCAGAGGGGATAAGGTGTAATAAGGATAAGGCAATAAGGGTGAGGAGCAGAGGGAGGTTAAGGTCGCAAGGGGCTGCGTTGGGAGCCCCGTTACTGTCAGCGCGACGCGGGTGCCCGCGGTGGCAGTTGTGTCCTGCCACGCTCCGTCGTGAGCCGGAGGCTCCCGTCCCCTCCGCTGACCGTACACAGTTGAGYGGGAGGAATCGGGGCCAAAACACCTTTTTAGGTAGCAGTTAGTTAAATGGCAGGTCTTTTAATGAAGACTTGAAATTGTTCATTAAAATAATGTGTTGTCAGGGTTTTCAAGGAGAGCAGGGTAACGGCAGCTACCCGTGTGAACGCTGAACCGCGCTGGGTATGCAGGATGTCCCTTGTCAGAGAGCAGCTGTAAGTGGCATTGATTTCAGCTTGAATTCTTGAAGGAAAAAAGGAAAAAAAAAAACGATTTTGGAGCAGTCAGGAGTAACATGAACAAGTTGGCTTCTCTGCCTGTTCACTCAGGCTTCATTTCTCCCTGCTAATTTGCAGTGTTGAGCTRAAGTCCAGGAAAAGAAACCTATTTTGATGCCATTGAATATACTCTATTCACTGCCACTCTTTCCACCCCCAGGTTTCAACAGATAGGAAATGCCAGTAATTACGGCTTTGTCCCCATGCCCTCTTTTCCAGTTCTGTTAGATGAAATTTGCCTTCAACATTCTTTTGATTTTCTTTCATGTTAATATAAAGAAAACAAGACTTCCCCTAAACACCATTTTCTCTGAGATTGTTAACCTGGTGGTTAATTTAGTCATAGAGCTAAATTTTCTTTCTGGCTAATTCTCTTAATAATCTCACATTGCCAGCCTGTACTTAGACTTCCAGTAGTTAAACTGCTGGATCCGAAGCCGCTTCCTAGGGAAACTCGCGGTGTGAATTGGAGTGACTTTGAGAGCGCGCTGCTCGGCTGGCACTTGCCCTATTCGTGCGGCTTTTGGTTGTCCCTCGCAGCACCGTCGGGATCTTTCAGTGGGAGCCTTTTCAGGACGGCTCCCGCCTCCAGGTGATCCGATGGCGTCCAACAGCCCTCGGGAGCTCCGGGCTGAAGGCGCACGGAGGGGAACGGAGCGGCCGCTTGGTGGGTGAGCGCAGTCGTGGGCTGGTGATGTGCAGGGAAAGGTGGCTTTGGTGGCACGATGGCCCTTGCTGTCCTGCAGGTTTTCAGGGAATGGACGGATTTATGGGCCAAAACCGCTACGTCTATTTTAGGCAATCCAGCACCTGTGCTGCTTTCCTTATCCCGGGCGGATTTTAAGGCAGCAATGCGGTGAATACCACAGAGGTTCAGTTAGAGCTGCAGTGACTTCTGCGTGCGGCAGCGGCCTGCGGGGCACGGAGGCCACGAGAGTCTTTGGCTCGCCCGAAGCGAGCGGCTGTGAAGGCAGCACAGCGCAGGGGAGGGTTTGTGCCCCTCAGCTGCCACCTTGCTCCGCTCCGTGCCTCCGTCGGGAGGACGAGCAGGGAAGACCAGAGGAAGAGCCAGGAAGAGAGAAGAACAGGCAACATTTCCTACTTGGGAAATCCTGCAGAGTAGCTAGAGCTCTTTGCAGATGATGGATAGTCAAGGAAGGATGTAATAGATCTGCATTTCCTTCATGGAAAGCTGGCGAGAGCCTGCAGAAATAGAAAGGAGGCAGGCCCACCTCGTGCTGCATCTGGACGTTTCTAGACGTGCCCCCAGCCTCCACCTTCCGCACGGGGCCACCCTCTCCGGGCCGAATGATGAACGAGCAGCGCCGCAACGTGGTGCTCGCCCCGGGCGCCGTGCCATACTGGAGCRCAATAAACTCATAATGTCCCGTTTAATGTTCTGCTAAAAGCATTCAGCGTTGCAAAATCTCCACGAGCTGTTAACGCGCGATGCAGGCCGCGGCGAGGCAGGTCTCCACAGCTCCACTTCCAATTTCACTAAGCCCTGAAGTGCTTTGAGAAGGCAATGGAGAGAGCTTTGGGCAAATCCAGAAAGCAGCTGGAAGGGAATGAAAATGATAGAAGGCTGCTGATTTTTTTCTTTCTTTAATTAAAATGATAGAAGGCTGCTCTTTTTACTCTCTTTTTTTTTAATTCCAGAAGGAAATGCTAAAAAATGTAGACTTAGAAGAAAGAGAATCGAGCACAGTTAGCCCCAAATGGTGCAAGGATGCAGCCCACAGACAAAGGGAGTGATCGTGTTGGGGGTGACAGGGAAGAGCCATTTTCACAGGTCAGGAGCCAAGGAAATGGGCACATGGAAAAATGATCCAAGTTAAGCCTTACGAATAACTACTGGAATAAGTTTCCAGGTGACTGAGAGCACCAAACTTCCTAACCCACCTGCTTTGGCAGCACTTCTGTCTGAACCTTAGGAATCTCTGTGGAGAAATGTAGCCACTACCAAAGCCAAGTAACTTTGGCAGCTTAGAAGACGACCTGGCCACGTGTTGCCCTGGGTCTTGGTCATGGTTCTTGGTCATGCCGCATACGTAGATGTCATCCTTAAGGATCTCCTTTAGCTACAGCAAGGAGGTGTATGAAGTCACGGAAAGAGTTTCCCTGTTGGTCTGCTACATGCCAGGGCCCAGACACGGACATTGGAACACAGTGGCTCCTGGAGGGAGCACTAAGAGCATCTCTATGTGTGTGTATGGGGGAGTGTCCAGCGACTTCTGCTCTGGGAAAACTCCGGGAGTAGTTAGAAGCTTCATAAATATTATCATTTCACCCTAAAGAGTCTATTTTTCTCTTGGTGAGAGGCATTTAATCTGTTTGGAAAGTAAAGAGATAGGATTCAGAGTCASTGATTTCTGTGTCCGCTGAGGATCAGTTTCCCTGGGGGAACTAGGAAGGAGCAGAAACCAGACAGGCAACTTCCTCAACTCTGCTGAAAGCTCCCAGGCAGTATGTGATGTTATGCGGGGTTTTACTCCCACAGTCCTTGGTTTTCCTACATATCTCAGAGTAAATTAGAAAAACAGGCTGGATAAAACTATCAGGATGYGGAACACTTGGGGCACCTTGTAGCTACGTGACATGCTTCTCTCTGAGCTGTGGCTTGGGTTAAAGCGCAGGAGTTAATTAAAGCAAAATACTAATTGTTCTGGGACACGTGGGACGGTGATCAGGCAAGCTAGTCCCCTTTGGCTAATGAGAGCGAAGAATTGGAGCTAGTCGCTCACCTGGGAGCGCTTGTGGGGGTTTCCTCGGCGTCTGCGCTCTCTGTGTTCGCCTGTGTCTCTATCGGTGACAGCACTGAGCTCAGTGAGAGTGTCCCTGCAGACCCGCAGCTCCTGGACCCCTGGGTTTACAATCCGGGCAAGTGCTGAGGCTGAGGATCGCCCTCCCCCAGGGCTAGCAGGTATAAACTCCCCAAGTCCCAGGTAAGCCCTGCAGGCTGTAATTCCCTGTTTGGTTACAGGCAGAATTCCCGACGCCAGCGCCGACTGTGAGGGCTCCC